GCGAGGAGATATGACAGGACTGGGCTGGAGCGTGCCGGTTGCTTATGGGAATGCGCCAGAGGCCCCACTGCACCACCCCCACGAGCCCCGCGGTCAGCACGAGCCAGCTGAAGCCGCCTCCCACACTCCTACCCCAGTCACGGACCAGCTCCTGCACCCCACACCCTCCCGGAACCCCTCGGCAGCCCAGAGCCCTTCGCACTCGGCATTTCTTAATCCAACACCCCAACCCTCGGCCCTGCTTATGGGAATGCGCCAGAGGCCCCACTGCACCACCCCCACGAGCCCCGCGGTCAGCACGAGCCAGCTGAAGCCGCCTCCCACACTCCTACCCCAGTCACGGACCAGCTCCTGCACCCCACACCCTCCCGGAACCCCTCGGCAGCCCAGAGCCCTTCGCACTCGGCATTTCTTAATCCAACACCCCAACCCTCGGCCCCAGCCTGAGGGAAAGGAGGATAGGTAAGAGCAGGGGGAGCAGGGCAAGGTTATTTATATTTAAGCTAGATCTGGGCTTGCACTTAAAAAGGGTGACACTAAGGGCCAGATCCGGTTAGGTACTTAAGTGCTGAGCATTCTAAGTAAATTGCGCTAGGAGTTAAATCCCTTTGAAGACGCAAGCTCAATTAGGAAGAAAGAGTAGCTGAAATTAAGCATTAAACTAGACCATTAAAAATGTGCTTGTCACTTTTTCAAATGTTCCTTTACGAGCAAGACTTGGACAGATAAACATAAAGGTAATTAAAATCAAAATCCTGTGGAGAGTGGGGTCAGGGTGGCTTTTGTGGCAGTGTTAAAAGTTAAATGATCCCACCAAGCATGTTTAAGCAGCTTCAGTATACTTACGATTTGCTGAGAGAGAGAACAGGTGATAGGTTATGGCATGGAAGAAGTGAGGTCACTGCTCTCGTACTTTGGAGTTTACAGAAAGTGGGACTTTTAAATAAACAGTATTTCACGAACACATACAGGGATCTTGACACTTTTTCCTTAGTTTTCAACAAACTAGGGCGATGAGAACTTAAGACTCCTAAGCGATGACATTTAATATTCAGTTCTCTTCCCCCCCCCCCCCCCCATTTAAAATATTTAGGGTGAAAGGGTTTTTTATTTGATCCTACCCCAAAGCTGTCATTGCTTTAAGCACCTGTAATCTCATTCCCTTATCTAACTATGTCTTCTTTCAAACTCACAAGTCATTGTACTTGGCATGGGGAAAGAATAGTAAAGTAGCTACAAATGAAGAATCAGAGTATCAGTCCATAAGAAGGGAGAAAGATACCCAGACCATAGCTTTTTTGTGTAAATACAAGAACTGCAGCTTTGGATGGAGAGCCAAAACAGTATTATTCTTGAAATCTGTAGCATAAATTCCTTGGCTCTTTGCAACCAGATGTCAAAAGGCATCCAGACAGTCATCAGAAGGGCTAATCAGCTCCAAGCTTTGCCTCTGCTCATGGACTGCTGGAACCTATAAAGGCTCATTTCTATAATGACTGGGTAGTTAGTGGAGGAAGCTACCCCACTCCGACATTCACATTCCTATTTCCCTATGCATACATTTACGGCTTTTACGAGCAGTCACCACCTCTCTCACAGGGAGGGCTTGGCAGCTCATTTATAACATATGGACATTAAGAAACTATCATCCTGACCACTCGGCCATGAGACTGACATCAGAATCCAAGTGGACACTAAGAAAAATCCAGACATATACATCCTGTGATGTCATGGTCACTATTTTAGACAGACAAGCTATGAACAGCTCCTCCTAATCAAACCACCAATCAACATACCTTAGCAATTTATGACAAACACAAAAATAACTAATAAAATTAACAAAATAAATGTTTATTAGCATTAGGAATGCTTTCTCTCCCTCTAACCTTAACATGGCAACATTCCAGCAGTTACAATGAAATTACCTAAGAACAATTATTTCCACAGTACGAGGTGCTCTCCGGATGGAAAATTGGAAGGTAGGAGTCATGGATCCATCAACCCGCCAGTCTGATTGTCATACCATCCCCCAAGTGCTGAATAGGGCCCCGTCAGCCAAAAGCTGAGGATAGAGCATGTGTGTGTTTTGTGGCTGAGGATTTACTTCACTCCTAAATTCAATACTGTGGTCATACTAAAAGGAGCTAAACACCAGGCAGTCATTGATCCCTATATCACCAGAGCCACAGTGAGCTACAGGGACTGTAGGGTTCTGAAGGCAAGCTGTTCGGATTTGCCTTCTATTGGTGGGGCCTTGTCACAGAGTTAGCCCCAGAGCAAGTTACTGAGGCCCATTCAGTATTTTGCATATTGCTATCAAACAGCCAGTCCATACCTCCTAACCACAAATATTTGCCCTTAAGGGAAGGGTCTGCCAACTTACGTGAATGATCAAACAGTCTCACACTCAGCAAGAGATTCTGCAGCTGGCACTACTGAAAAGGATAATTCTCAATAAGTATGGAGAATTAGAGTACAAGAGCTGGGATAAAGAGTCAGCAAGTAAATAATCAGAGACAGGTGGCCCATGCACAACTTAAACACAACATGGGAGATGGCAGTTTTAATCAGTTGATAAGGTCTATACAGCTCACGATTTAAAAACACAATATGTCCCCTTCATGTTAGGAGCTGAAATTGCATGTACATTGGGTTTCAGTTCTCAGGGGAGGGAACCACTGGACATTTAAACAGCTAACTGTGGAACACTTCAGGGGACTCCCACCCACACATCACTGCTAGCTCCAGGCAGAGATGCCATTTTAGGAAGCATTTTGATTCACATTTACATTTAGGGGAATATATTTTCAAGAGCTAGAGCGCTGCAATGATAGGACTCTTTAAATGAGAAGTGAGGCCTGATGTTCTTTGGTGATGTCTCTGTTGTGGGGCGCCCAGGCTATTAGAACAGAGTTCTTCAGACAGACACACCCTCACATTAATTCCCCCCACAGCAGCCATCTAAAGAGATGTGCACAGGACACAAGTTGGTGAGTGGGGTGCATGCGTTCATTCTGCTTCACGGCAGTCCTGCATGAGGGCTTGAGGCAAACAAGCCATTGGGAAAGGTGACGCACAGCAAGAGTGGGAGCACAAAGCTAACCTGTAGATGTCTGAATTCAGCAGCATCTTCAAGAGGCGCAAGAGAGCTGAAGGAAATGACAGACTGGTGTTTCATATTGGGAACCTCTCTCTAGGCTGCCTCAGCTCCCCCTTTATTCCTGCCCCCTGAACTTGGTAGGTTGTCAGCAAGCTTTTAAGGACAATGGCCTGGTGAAAAATACCACAGAAGGGATTCCTATACAGAAGTCAATTTAATAAAACCACCACCAATTGTGTACTTCAACATAGCTCTTGTTACAGAAATAATAAAAATGGACGCAGTAGCTAGAACTCTTAACCCTTTTAATTGAAAAAATATCCCAATGATTTCAATTGCTACTGCACTAGATGGAGTGTTTAATATTTGCCAGGATAGTTTGCCCAATAACTGAGCCCAAAACAAACAGACAATTCCACCATCTTCCTTTTTAACGTCACCATTTGTAATAACGTAAGTGAAACTCAAACCAGCAAGGAACGTTCCATTTGATACCAAACGGGAAAGGAGAGGAGATCCACAGTTAAACTCTTTCAATGCTCTTTGAGAAGTGGTCAGCGAGTACCCCCCTTTTCCTCCATCAAACGAAAAATTCCTAACACACTTCTTATAGGTTTGATTCTTAGCCAGGTTCAGAGCCCAGGTCCTGGTGGCATGGGAATAGCTAGGTTTGATTTGGGCAGATAACATTCTGGGTGAAAAAGACAAAGCATCCTGAATGGCAACATGCATTCGTCTCTAATGAAACGCACACCAAGTTAATCGGTTTGCCTTATGAGGGGACAGTTCCGTTGCCAGCAATGGACACAAACCATGGAGGCCAGGGAATCAACGATGCAGGAAGAGGAGAAACTTGACTTCTCACGTAAAAGCCTTCAAAAGAGTCACTGCACCAGCACACACTTCTCCCACCCCAATCCCCGGGCTAAAAAAAGCAAACCCAAAGAAAATGCACAGCAAATAGACATAATCTTGAAGATTTTTAAAGAATAAATATTTTTTGTAATTAAACATTATGCAAACACGTGCCACGCTTGCTCTTTGTCCATGCATATGCGCTATATACAATTTTGAAAAATACTGTTGTCCTCTTTTGTTTTAAAAGTCATATACAAAGTTTTTTCCTTGCTATGTACCCCCCTCCTCCCCTTCCCGAGAATCATCTTTACAATGAGCCAATCAACATTCATTCATGAACTTGGGTGTGTGAGGAGGAGGAGGGAGAGGGAGAACCCCTTACCAAAGTACATCAAAATGGCTGGTTTGGACATGAAAAGCGGTGTCAAGAAACTGGTTTAAATTTCATCTGTACTACACACAGGAAAAAAAGAAAAGAAAAAAGGAGTCGGCTTGGAGAATGAAGCTACGTTACAAGTTAAAGTTGGAGGGTTTTTTTAGTGCATCTGTCACACTCTTATTGGCCGCCTAGAATACTGTTGTACAATGGTTTATCTACCTTTTTTATTACAATATAATTTACTTAAATTTTCTGTTAGCAAAACAGAATCCCATTACTACAGACCCAGCGGTGTAATAGGCGTAGTGCCTCTTTTTGTGTGTGTTTTGTTTTAATTGCATGAGCACTCTAGATGGTAAAGTTTTCAGAGTTCGTTTTATGCAGGGCCAGTCTCAGTCCTCAATGTACTCCCACAGGTCCTTCTCATAGCCTTCATGCACATGCTGCAACAAAACTCTTCGTCGACTCTCGCAGTATCTACAGAACAGGGGAAAAGCACATCGAGATGCTGGTTAGGAACAGAATGCCTGCTGGTTTGGAACAGAATGCCTGCTGGTTTGTAGCCACTATATATGCAAGTGAATGCCATGTTTTGCACACCCAAAATTCAACCTACCTTGAAAAAGATTATAACGTGTGGCATGTCTGAGGGACACACTAAAAACACGCTACGCAAGGCTTTGACCTGCAGAAACCGAAGTCCTTCGCAAAGCTACCTCAACATTTTCCCTATTTTACAAGCTGAAACATGAACGCATGGAGCGTCTGTGACATACCTACGGGCACAGTACGGGTTAGCATCAGAGCTGGAAACAGAAACCAAGTTCTGCTGACTCTCAGTGTGTGGTGTCCTGGCCACTGGACTACCTTGAGCTGACAGTCAAGTCAATATGACACAAATAGGGACTGGGTCCAATTTTGTTCAACACAAAATAGTCAAGCTGGAAGCAATGAAGACAAAGCAATGGTTGATTAGCCTAGCGCATGGGTTCCCAAACTGGGGGGGCATGAAGAAATTCTAGGGAGGGCATGAGGCAACCCAGTCCCCCCTCTCCCCATCAAGTTTGCTGCCCTGTGTCTGTGTATATATAAAATCAGAAATGGGGGCATGATGCTGAAAAGTTTGGGAACCACTAGCCTAGCGGGACCAAGGCTGCAAAGTTTGCCCACTACGTCCTAAAAAGCCTCTCTAATTTGCACATTCAAAACAAGATTTCTCTGCTGAAACAATTAACACTGATCCCAGAACTAGGTCCACTCCCTATCCATGTCACTGACGCTGGGGCAAGGCAATGAATCAAGGGAAGCCATGTTCATTTCAGGTGCAGTTGCCAACTAGAAAGATGAGAGAATTTTTAAAATATTAAGGTTTTTAGTGGAGATTATAAACAGGGAAGCAAGTCTCCACTATCCCTTTACTGCTACTTACTGACACACTGCTGGAGATAATCCCTGTTGACTGGCTATGCCAAAGTCTGCCTCTCACTCCCTCCCACTTGCATGTTAGGGACAAAAAACTTTCCTCCATTAATTGCTTCCTTGTCCAGCAGGCATGGCCATGCCACTGATTCCAAAGCTAATCAAGGCAGCTTGGCAGCACAGGTGGATACCACCAGCAGAAAAGCCGTTAGCTGAGCCAAGGCCATTCAGATGCATGGAAATGTTGAGCTGTAATATGAGAAGCTACAATTTAGGGACCAACTCATGAGTTAAGGGTCCCACCAGGGGTAAGAGGCATGTGACCAGGGCAGCAAATTCAGCTTCCAGGCATATTTCTCTGTCAGTGTTGCAGCTGTGTACCATTTCTGCTCTGCAAAACCAAACCACCCCTCAGCCTAGCTAAGGCAAAATGCATGTCAGCAGAGAGGGGAAGTTGTCTCCATAAATCTGCAGGAATCTTCAAACAGCCAGCAAGCCTTAACTCCAAACGCTACCATATCTAGGAACAAGAGGGGAAGAGTGGCTGCCTGCCCTCACAACAGTCTTGCTTTAAGTTACACCCTTCACACTAACATTCAGCTCTGATCCAGCTGACAGATTTATTTCAATGAACTATTCCAGTTCTTCCCACTGGTATCAGCTGTTGCAATGTAAATCATAGCACAAAGTCCCATTGATTTCATAGAACATGCAATAAATGGAACATGCACAGTAATTGCTTTCCAATCCTCAGTTATTTTGCTGGGGTTTTCTAACTCCTGTTTTCCAGCAATGTCATGGGCATCACAAGCTGACAGGCCAAAGCCAGCTAGAGCTGAACAAGCAAAGTGAACGTTGACTAGAATTTCCCAAAGAATTCTGTAGCACTGCATAATTAAGGTAGCAGGAGACTGGTTAACCAAGGACCTGTGCATGCCTGAAAGGCCACAAGGCCACAGAAATACCAAGGCAGGTTCGAATGCTGCATTTCCAGGCAATCTAGGCCATGTTTAATTTGTCTTATGCTGTTATCAACTGCCTAAAACAGACATCCAATATTAAGATCAACTGCATCAGAGCCAAAAAATCACAGCTTAACGCCAGTTAAGTTAAAATGAACAAGTTACAAAATCCTCCAAACTGCAGTCTAACAGGAATGTTCCAGTTTAGTATGGCTGCCAGCCATTACCAGAGTGGGCAGTACCTCTATCATACGACCACTTGTGTTTATATTCACAAGAGAAACTTCTCAGTCAAAAGAGCTCATTTTACTTGAGAAGTGGTTTGATTTTCCTGCTAGACATAACAGACATTTAGTAACTCTGGCCTGATGCCTCAGAACTGAAACCCTTCTACGGCCACAGTAATTTTCCATATCGTCCGAGCACTCCCCAAGGACTCTGAGGAGCAGTGGGATGTGCTCCCTAAGCCCCATCTCTGAGGCAGCGGTGAAGGAGCACGTGACCCTCCCTCATTTCTTGCATGATGCTCTCTCACTACAGCCTTTCCATTGGTTAGCTTACAATCAGGGCAAAGATGCAATGGAGCCCAGCTACCAAACTACAAAAACATTTTGGTTACTCGTCTCTGGGCAAATTTATTGTAAAACATTAAATCAACTTCTCCCTTCGCTCCATGAGAACCTCCCTTGGTCTCTTTCAGTCCCCTTCCTGCAGCAACTGCACTTTCCCGAGGAGCCTTACGTACACTAGGGCCAGGCTGAATGTTTCCTGCCACTGCTCAGTACAAGAGGAGTTAACAGTGCTGAGAGCCCTGCTGGGAACTTCCCTCCAGGACCACAGCAGTCTGATTTGCCCCAAGAGGGCTAAGTGACTATGCTATGAACCAGTGGTGGGAAATCTGTGGCCTGCCTGAGGCCCACTGGGGTTCTGTGTGCGGCCCGTGAGACATTGTTTACTGCTGCTCATGTGCAGAGCTGCCAGACTGCGCTGGTTTCTGTCCATGTAGTATTTTTCTTCCCGGTATTACTAACGTGACGAAGAGTACGCAAAGCGAGGTGTGTGCCAGCTGCACACTACACTGAAGCGCATTGACACGGCTGCCAGAGCCAATCGTCACAGCATGCAAATTCTAGGGACGCAAGCGCAGTAGCAAAACGACCCTGTCCCAGGAGACCACCTTAGCTATGACAATCCTGCAGCCTACTGAGATGAAGGCCCACTCACTAGCCTCGGTTGCCCAAGGGTGCTGGCAGTCTGTCCTCACTAGCAACCCAGAACTGCTAATGCTTGATTGGTTTGGGTGCGCTGGAGATCTGCCTGCTCCTGCTGGACTAAGCAGACTGGAGATTGGTTGCTGATCAGGAAACAGGGTAGAAGGCCAACAATGAGTGTGTGTCTGAAGGGGTAAGGTTTGGGGCAGCTGTGGCCAACCCGAGGCCCACCCCCCAGGGCGGTTCACGCCACCCCCGCGACCCAAAAACGGCCCTCTCCTCCCAGCTCCCTGTGCTGACCTGGGCAGGAGAGCTCTCCAGCGCAGCCACGAAAGCTGCAGAAATAAAGATGGCAGCAGGAGCCTGCTGTGGCCAAAAAGCCTCAAAACACATTTAAATGCAGTTTCTTAAACAGGCAGAGCCCTTTTTTTTTGTTGTTGTTTTAGAGCTGCTTCCCCTCCCCCCCCCATGCAACCAGGGGGTCCTTTTAAAGGGGCAATCCTTTTTGGGGGAGAGGGGGCTCGATAACTTTGCCCCCATCTCTTCATGCTGGATCCCCTGCTATCTTTGCTTTTTGCCCAGAATGGGTTGGCCACCCCGGGTCTAGGAGAACCAGGCTGTCTCACAGGCGCTTTCCACAGGCTGTTCCCTGCCATCCCAAAAGTGACCTACAGAGGGACAGTGCCATGTCGGACAGACGCTCAGTCCAAGTGTACCTGTACTTATCTTGTACTTTCTGCTTGATGTCTTGCAGCGAATCTTGGGAAATATCTCGCTCCAGGTACCCAGAAAGCACCTCTGTAGCATTCTCTAAGTCTGCTTGGTTATTCTGCAAAAACAAAAAGTGGGCCAGTTTTTGTACAGACACTTCCTCACACCACCTAAGCATTCTGACTAAAATGAGAAGCAGATGGGGCAGGTCTGTTGGATAACACTTCAGCGTGTTCCTCACTGCAGAGAAGGAGGAGAATTCATTTCACAACTGAACCAGAAGTTACTAAAGCCTCAGAGGGGCAGCCATGTTGGTCTTAACTTTAAAAACAGCAAGTAGCCCTATGGCACCTGAGACGAACAAAAACATACATTTATACACTTATACAATAGATGTTATTAGTCTCTAAGGTGCCACAGGACTACTCGCTGTTTTTAAAAATTACTCAAGATATTCAAAATTTCCTGTATGTTTTTTGACATAATACTTGTTTCTGGGTTTAGTTTTTCCCCGTAGGGCAAACAGAATCACCTCCCTTCCTCTGTCCATCTTGGTCTTTGCTTGTGCATCCATATTCAGTGACAAAGCACAGCTTTTAGTACTGCTGTTACTCCGTGCTCCTCCCAGAGTGGTAGGCCACACCAGTTTACTCAGACTGCATGAAAAGGTAAATGGGATTTCCAGTTAACAGCCACCATAGAGCTGAGAATCAGGGACAGTTTTGGCTTTTAAGCACTCTCTTACTGCTACTGCCCTGAAACCAAGCAATGATGGAGAGAAACATTACATCCAAGAGCTAGGTGACTCTTCCAACAGATTGTACCCAAAGTTGGTTTTCTGTAGCTCTCATAACAGAATGATTATTTTACAGCACAAGCCAGCAGTTTGACAAGGATTTACATTGCCAGTTTACTTTACTCTCCCATTTCCTCAGCAGGGAATGCTTCACGTGACCCCTGATGGCCTCCAATTACATGGTCTCACCAGCATTCAAGAATACTGAATAAACCCCCATCTGTATGAGCTCTGAGTGCACCAGCCCTTCCCTGGATCAAGTGCCCAGGAGTACGGCAATGTATTTCCCTACCTCGAAGATAATGGACTGGTTATTCTTTTTGAGGTAGAAGGCAAAGACATAAGTGTACATGAGTGTGGCACGACACTGGCAGAGGACGTCAACTGCTTTCTTCAGGAATTGCACCTCGATCCACGACATGTTGTGCTGCTGCATCTCTTCCATTTTCTGCTTCACCTGAGCATAGAGTTTGTGCTCAAAGCGCAGGCTCTGCATGTGGTTCATGTAGCGGTTGCAGTAGAACAGGTACCTCTGCAGGGCTGCTCTGGATCGCTGTGTTAATTCCCATTTAGGAAAAGTAAATAAATAGTTACAACAAAGTAATGGCTGGAGACTAGGCGAGAATAAAGGGTCTGGAGGACTCCAACGGTGACCAACAGAACAGTTTCCCCATTCAGAAGATGTTTCTGCTCCTTTCAACAGGTCAGGCACAGATAGGACCATGAAACTCACTGGGACTACTGAAACACACCCTAGCCATGAGTACGCATGTCCACCCCTCTGGGGAAAGCCAGGTCCCACCGAGGGCATTGGTGCTTCACAAGGAAAGCGCAACCCCTGACATCTGGAAGATTAAAGCACATCCTACGTTTACAGTGTACACGCACACCCCAGGGTTGTCATGCCAAGCACCGAACGAGGTGGGTTCCCAGCTGGAGGGGAGAGGACAGCGTGGCAGACTGTGTTAGTGCAGGGTTAAGTTTGGCCTTTCCTAGAGTGCTTCTTTTACTTTAACAATCCAATGGAGCTGTTTCAAAAGATACCAAGCCACCAACCCAATTAACAAGAAGGCTTCAACTCTGGACCCTCTGCACCTGAGCTAATAAGTAACTTCAGCAGTTGTCTGCAAGAGTAGGCTGTTCTCCTCTATGGAACAGGGACTGAAGGACAATGAGCCGCAGGAGGTTATACAGGCTAAAGATGCCCCCATTTTAGAGACAGCACGGCCAAGCACACACACGGCAGATTCTGAGAGGCAGAACAGCTACACAAGCAAGATGCTGTTCAATCATGTAGGAGAGAACAGGTCTCCTCCCAGTACTGCCAGAAACTACTGTGTAATCTCACGGGGGTATGAGGCTTTGCTCTTAATAAAAGGTGGTGTTATTTCTGTTCCCATCACAGGGAACATAATTCTAGAACTCCGCTTGCTCCCAGCCAAGTGTATCTCCATTTAAGGCAGTGGTCCTCAGCCTATTCTGCATCTGACCCATCTTAGTGCTCCAGAGGATGAGAGAATCAAATCAGAGTGTGCGAACCTGGTCACAACCCTTCCTGGACCCAGATTACAACAGAAGTTTGGGCCTCCCAGTCCCATCTAGTTAGGGCATGAATTCTCTTTCTTTTCCCATAAGTCAAAAGACATTGAGACTGACCACAAGAGGCCATGTCAGGAGAAGGAGGATCAGTTGCATGCCCTCAGCCAGAGGTTTTATTGTACGCACATGTGATCACAAGAAAACGTGGAAAGTGGAACACAGGCATGGGAGTTTCGTTCGGCATTAAATGGCTCCCAGCTTGCCTCTTCAGCGCTGAAGACACTCCACAGAGGCAGGCTAGCCAGCCAGAGCTGGCCCTAAGCAAGCTTCTGTACTTCAAAGCTCACTTTCCCCCCCATCTCAATGCATTTTCACAGGGGAGCAAAAGCACCTGTCTAATCACAGAGCCACCTCCCTGGCAGATTTTAAATCCAAGCTGCAACCCAAGCAGGCAAGAGAGCTAGTCAAAGTACCAGAGAAGTTCTGGTCATTGGGAAGAGCCAGGCACCTGTGTCGGAGGGGTTATTGCAACTAATCTGTACTGGTCATGTGGTGAGAGCGCCTTTGAATGGCACTTACAAGCAGGCATGCAAGTCTGTCTCAAAGCCTTCCTCAGCATGGGTCTCCTTACAAAGCCCACCGCCAGCAGATTAAGAACATGACTGTGTGCACGCTGGCTCCCAAATCATCATCGAAGGAAGAACTCATTTTTTAACGGAGGCCTTTCTGCTCCTGTAGGAACCTGATGGTGTGTCCCCATTTCAACCTTAGCTCCTTTGTGGCCACACTGCCTTCAAGTGGAAAACAAGATTAACCACCATTCTGGTCTGGCCAGGGATCCAAGTGACATCACTACTAATCCGCACAGGTCCATGCTGTTAGACCCACAAAGCAAACCTAGATCTTCTCTGCAGATCTTGGACTTTCAAGAGACAACTGGAGTAGTCAAACATCATGATCTCCTTATGGACACTCCTGAATTTAACACTATTATGGGGCACCTCACTGGAGTGTGTATACAGTGCAGCACACCAGGGCCTGATCCTGATTGCAACCTCTGGACCCAACCCTCAAAGAAAATTAATATCCTAATTAGAACACTGATTTACATCCTTCCAAGTTGAGTGCTGGTTACAGGTACAACCACATGACTAAGAAATAATGTGTATATGACCAAGATAGATTAAAAAAGTGTTTGCTGAACAAATTACATTTTCAGATTATCACATGGAGACAAAACATCAGTTTCACAATATCGATATTTACATTATACTAGGGGAAAACAACCTCAGAGTATGGGAAAGAGGTGCAATATATTTAGTCATGGAGAATAGCATCACTGATCAACAATACAGGCACAAATCACAGGTATCCTAGTTTTCTTTTCACTAGCAGAGTAGCTGAGCCACTAATGATGTGCACCAGACACATATAATGTGCAAAAGGTGGCTGTATCACACATTTCAGTACGTGGCAGCCGTTTGTACGAGAGGATGTTTCAGGAAGTATGCTAGCTCCCAGCTACAGGAGGAACAAGTGGGTGAACTTTGAACTGCAGCAATCTGCAGCACACAGGGGGCAGTCCTCCTGTTGCACTGCCCACATTTACAGCCTAGCGCAAGTACACCTGGGACTTCTTGTCAGTTAGCCTGCCTCTCAGGAACACCCACCGAATGCCGGCAACCAGCAAACCAGCCGGCAACAAGAATGGCACACTCATTTAAATATCCTGGGGACGTTCTACGTCGACCTTATCCCGAAAGGGGGATTTCATCGTTGCGATGGAACCTGAGTCTTTTGGACTCTGGCCCAGCCGGTTCCTGGAGGTTAACTTTCAACAACAACGTAGAACCATAGAGCTGGAAGAGACCTCAGGAGTCATCAAGTCCAGCCCCCTGCCCGAGGCAGGACCAATCCCAACTAAATCAACCCAGCCAGGGCTTTGTCAAGCTGAGACTTAAAAACCTCTAGGGATGGAGACTCCACCCCCTCCCTAGGGAACCCATCTCAGTGCTTCCCCACCCGCTTAGTGAAACAGTTTTTCCTAACATCCAATCTAGACCTCCCCCACTGTAACTTGAGACCATTGCTCCTCATTCTGCCATCTATCACTACTGACAACAGCCTCTCTGTCCTCTTTGGAACCTCCCTTCAGGAAGTTGAGGGCTGCTCTCGAATCCCCCCTCACTCTTCTCTTTTGCAGGCTAAACAAACCCAAATCCCTCAGTCTCTCCTCATAGGTCATGTGCTCCAGCCCCCTAATCTTTGTGGTCATCCTCCGCTGGACCCTCTCCAATGCATTCACATCCTTTCTATAGTGACAACATACAGGATTTAAAGGGTTACAGAGCCCAAAAGAAAAAAGTTTCCCAAACTGGATGTTCTTCTAGTCCCTACCAAGAGTTGTGTACTCACCTCCTGTGCATCTCTTGCTGCCTTTGCATCATCCTCATTGTAGCGATTACAGTTGTACCTGAAAAAAAGAGACAGATTGAAATCATGGACTGAAGTTAAAACATGTAGAATACTGGCAATACAGTTGCCCTCTCCATCTGCCAGTTTAAGGTTGGAAACCTACCAGGCAGATCCATGTGGCTCCCAAGGGCCAAGACACACCCAACAGAACTCTGCTTTACAGTTCTGGTTCCGACAGACCATGTGGTTGCAGCCTCCATCCTTTTCGATGGTCACATGGCATTTGGGACATTCCTGTGAACAGAACAGACACTCATCGATGCTAGAAGCAGGACATGTGCTCTGATCTCTCCCCTCTTGTTAGAGCACCACAAAAATAGGAACCCAATTCAGACAACTTGGTTTACAACAGAGCCATGAGAAATTATACGTCCTCAGAAATTAAAGTGGGCAGGAGAAAAATCAACATGATTCTCTTCCCTCCTAACAGAGCCCAAGAGGCTTTCAAATACTGGAAGAGGCATGATGACACAGCTTTAAGAATGGCCCATCCAGTTTCATGACTAGTAAACTGACTTGCTAATTTGCTACTCCAGGGGGAAAGGTAATTTTGCAATTATCAGTAAAATCAGCAACTGCCCTACTGCTACCAGCAATTCCTGGGGTGGCTCAGAGGATAGGAGAGTATTTTGCAGTAAGACTAAGGGTATGTCTAGACTACAAGTGTACAGAGTTTTTTCGAAAAAAGTGCCCTTTTTTCAAAAAAAACTTCACCTGCATCCAGATTGCCATTGCTTTCTTTCGAAATTAAATTGAAAGAACGTGGCAGTTTTTTCAACAGCGGTAAACCTCATGTTACGAGGAAAAATGCCTTTCTTCCCCAAAGAGCTCTTACGAAAGAAGGCGTTCTTGCATGCAGACAGGGCTTTTTTGAAAAAGAGCATCCAGATTGCCTGAGTGCTCTCTTTCAAAAAAGCAGATCGCTTCTTCAAAAGTCCTATGGCAATCTAGACGACCTCTTTCGAAAGAGGCGTGTAGTCTAGACATTCCTTAAGCGTGCTCCACGCGTGTTGGGAGATTCTTTTTAAGCTTTGAAGACCAAGACTGAGATAGTCCAAGAGAGACTTTTTGGACTGGCTAAAATTGTGAAGTGTTTAAAATCTGGTTGCCACTTATGGAAGCCAATCTGTGTAGACGTAAACTTTAGGTTTTTTTAACGAAGTCCCCAACAGGTCAAGAGCTACTGCACTCAATATTGTACTCAACTGTTTCCTCTGTTTGGATAGAACAGCCCATCACCCCACTGTAGGTAGGCAGCAAAGTCTGTTTTGCACAGTTCCTATAATGACACCAGAGGTGCTTTTGCAGCATCTGGTCTTCTTCATGGCCAAAGTTTCAGGCTGCTCCAGGCTACGCACTAAATATCTGAGCATTATGCGCCCTGGGGGCCATCCGGGATCAATGACAACTGATCTCATTCATCTAAAAAAGCATCTGAAAACCTGAGGCACAAAGTGAAGTTCTGCCTTCCCACCCCATCAACTAACTAGACCATTGGTTCACCCAACATGCCCAGTCTAAACCACACTTGCCATGCAGTGCTCTCCGCATGCCTCTCCCCCCACATGCCATCTCAATCAAGGCCTTGCATTGCCACTGCTGGCAAGGTTCAGTCAGCTCCAGAATAACCGCTGAATGAAGGGAGCCGGGAATACAGCACCGCCCATGGCACCATTCCTAGAGCTGGGGCCCCAGTCACATAAACCATTTGTGTCATGAGTAACAGTCTCTTCCTTTGCTGTACTCCAGAGCTACCCCTCCCCCCCCCCACGGCACTGTCAGGGAAACGTACCTGGTTTCCTGGAAGTAATTTAATGATTGCTACATTGCACACAGATATTTGCCGACTTGCCTACTGTGTGGGAAACAGTTGGAGCAAGGCCCAGAGAAAAAATTCCCAAGGACACTCAAACCAATCTGCAAATGGCTATGTCTACACTGGCACTTCACAGCGCTTAGTAGCCTTCTGGCTCGGGGCATAAAACCCCCATCCCCAGTGGGAACTCCGCTGCAGCGCTGCAAAGCGCCAGTGTGAAGCAGGCTCCAGCCGCGCTCCCAGCACTGGTAGCTCCTCCCCTCCCGGGGGTGGTTCATAGAGCACTAGGGAAGAGGGCTCCCAGCACTCATGCTGAGAACGTACTTTCAGTTTAAAGTGCTGCCGCAACAGTGTAGGCAAAGCGCATGCGTAACCGGCATTTCCGGCTAAGGGGATGTCTCTACACTTCACTTGCCAAACGGCAAAGATACCAAGAATGTGACTTCCACCGCTTCATGCACGCTTTGGGGGCACGCCTGTGCAGCAGAGATGCTCTTCCAAATGCAAAACAGATTTTCAATCAGTTTGCAGCTATTATTCAGCAGTCACTGCATTTATTTCAAAACACAATTCCACACGCTTTGCGCAAAGCCACTTTTTACAATCTGAACTTAAATTCCTCATGTGCATTTCAGGACTGGCACCTAGAGAGAAACAGGATGTTGCTAACCTTTCACACTTGGGTAGAAAGTTAAGACAGCTCAGCCACAATTTCTGCATAACATTGCAGAGATTTATGAACAATGTATCTGTTTCCACAGTTTAAAAGCATATATTAATGTTACCAGTCCAACAATTAGCCAAATATTGGTCCCACAGTATGCTGCTCTGAAGTCGAAGCGGGTGTCTGGCACAGCTATGAGTAGTTCCCTTTGAATAGGTATGTCTCAAGGTGGCACAAATCAGTAGCGTTCCTCCTTAAGATCCATTCGGAGCTGAAACAGGCTGGCAATTCAGCAGTGAGATGCACCTGGGAACTCTGTGGTGGACCTTCCAGGTCATTCACTTGCCCAATGTTCTTTTTAACTAATACCTCCGACTTCCTCCGTTAGGAGTACTGAAATTCACCCTGAAAAGGCAGCTCAGGAGGTTAAGTTCTTTGGGGAAGGGACCTATTTTTTGTCTTGTCTTTGTGCCGGGTCTGCCCAAATGTGGTCCTGTGCCCACAACTGGGGATCCTGAACTGCCCCAACGCAAACAAATACAAAGGCCCTAACCATAACCACGGTTCCGATTCATCACGTAACTGAAGTCGCCATATCCCTTCCAGGCCCACGGAACGTGAATTACACAGCAAGATCACTATCGCTCTGAAGGAATTCCTTCATCAGACTGAATGTCAATGTAGGAACCACAATTCAAGAATGCACACTAACGAAATGCTGAACAGGGGAAGAAAACCCAATAGCAGTAACAAGTCACTAAAAATGCTCGGGAGAGGTCATTTATGGATTAAGGGGCCAGGAGAGGGAGAGGGAGAGGGATTCAGGGAAGGAAGATTTTAAGAACTATGGCCAAGCAATAACATTTGATCAGGAAATCAAATTACCATACCAGTGGATTATTCTGGCTGGATTATTCTGGCTAGATTATCTAGCCACCTGCTGTGATGCAAGAAGTAACCCCATTAAAGTGCTTCAAACCCAAGTGAGTGTCTGATTATATGGTACAGTCAAATCCTGCACGTGGAAACAAAGGTCAAGGCAAACCTGTTCCTCCTTTGTCAGGGCCCATTTTGTGATGTTTATCACCCTCCACTACCTTATGCTCAGGTTCACAGGAATTCCATCAGTTCATAAACTGCAGTTCTTATCTCAAAGCAGGCAGAAGAACAGCAGTGCTTCCTGCAGCATATGAGATGAGCTATTCCCGAGACCCTCCGCCCCATGAAGTGCTACACAGTGTTGGTGCTGGGTCTGCATTCTAGCTCTCTCACTCCGGATGTATTTTTGTGGTAAGTGCAGGTAACAACTGGATTGTCAAATCCCCAGCTCAGCTGGACACATGCAATTCTGCACCTTGTTTATTAGAATAAAGCGGCAAGAACTTGATGCCATGACACTTAGAAATTATTCCACTAAATGGGCTGCTTTAATGCACTTGCGTATCAGAGAGAAGATGCCACCCCACACGGGAGGCAAGACTGTTCGTGGTTCTACACAGAGCTGCAGCAGCAAGCAGTGAAAGGGACAAATCCTTAGTTCGGAGCCAAGTCTGCGAGAAGCCTTGTTTGTGTGTAAATATCCACCCAGGGTTCCCAAGCGTGGGAGTGGCACACACAGGCAGATGTTTAGAAGTGACCCGTAGAAGGCAGACAACGGGGCCTGGGTTCCTTTACAGTGGATAAGGGCCTGACCAGGGCCATTGATAGGCAAGAGGCAGCTGCCCCAGGGCCCAGGGATTTAAAAGGGTCAGGGGCTCCCAACCAGTGCTGCTATCACCACAGCAACAGCCAGACCTCTGGACTCGTTCAACTGCCACCAGAATTCCCAAGGCAGGGGCGGGGAGAGCTGACAGGTGGGCTGGGGAAGCCAGCCCCCGCCTCTCTCCACCTGCCTTCCTTCAGCAAAAACCAGACCTGACCATCCTGTGTTGAAAGTACAAACAAGCACAAGTTTAAAACGCTCTTTTCAGGCCTTTCTGAGGGACTGGGGAGGAGCACACAAGTACACGAACCCAGCTTTAAAAGAAACATTTAGTCTTAGCACAGAAGTTTTCTTCATGCCCCATCATATTAATAGGCTAGACAAACAATCTCAGATACTGCATTATAACCTGACACAGAGACCAGAGCTCTTTGGGGCAAAAACAAGGAGCATCGGTTTAATTTGGAGCAATTTTAAATGGATTCAGGGAAAGACTGACTTGTTTAACACGTAAGCAAGGCTAGGTGGTGCTTCCAGCCATAAAGTTTTGCAAACTCCCACTAGAAACCACATTACCAGCACCAGCATTAAACAATTAATAAAAATCTGCACTTTAAATCTGATCAATTAATTCATAAAGAAATAAATGCCAGAATACAGTAATTCCTGAACAAAAAGCATATTTAAGCTGGATTTCATTTGTGTTCTCAGAGAAGCTGTTTGGTTTGCCCTCATCATTACTTTCCTGAAGGCCTCATGGTGCCTTTTTTGACAAGGCAAGCTTGGACAAACATGTCGCATATTCTCCGGAGCACCATGATTTTGAATATGCAGAACTCAGGGACTGAGATCTTCTCAAATCACACTTTGGCCTTGGTAAAACGTGGGGAGTTTTCCCGCACAGAGAAGCAGCCACAAGGAATGGCACTGAAACCTGTGGTAGTACCCAAAGAGGCCACCATCTTTTAAGGACAGCTTTTGGAAGCTAGAAGCAGCAGCAGCCTCTTTAGTCTCATTTACACTGCCTTATTTTTGGCCAGAGAGCCAGATTGCTCATACAACATTGATGGAGTGAGACTATTTCACCCAATAGGGAGTTTCAAAACTGGATCGTTCGAGTTCCTTTCAAGGTTCCTTTCTGCAAGACATGCCCAAGTTTAGAATACGGAGAATTATTCTGGGCCTAATTTCCCTGTGGAATTATTGAGTGTGGCTGTTTCTTCCCCTTGTGCCTGAACTAGGAACATGAATGGTTAATCACTTAACTGGTATCATGTTTACCAGGTGATGCTTACAGGTTACAGCACCTCCTCCGCCCACCCTGTTTAACCAGTTAAAACAATACGTTTAACTGATTAAATAGGGTTTTACATCCCCAGCCTGAACAGGGGTATGAGCATCTAATCAGCCTCTTGAAAGGGGTGGAGTAGCCTGGGAAGGCTGAGAACCACTGTTGCAGAGCACACAAGGAAATCATTTCGTTTTCCGTCGAATTCGAAAGGACAATTCATTTTACCAAGAAATGTCCACAAGTCTGCCTGGAAGCAGAGCAAGTTTCAGAACTGGAGGCAATCAGCAAACGAAGAGGGCTGTTCAATGGAAGCACTGCTTGAACCCAACATCCCAGTGCAGTGGGAAGTTCTGCTCCCACTAAAACATAACCGATTCCACTCAGACAGTAAGCAAGCCATGTCCCAGATGCAAAGCAGCTGTCTTCAGGAAGCAATGTTGTTACCAGGTTACACTGCAAAAAACCTTTCTACTCTCAGCAAGCTCCGCCCCCCGTCACACACACACTGCCTCTTGTCCTCCCCAGCAAAGGCCCAGGTTTGCTCCGGAATTGCACTCCCCACATGGGAGTTGTGTCTTGCTTCCTTGCCATCATGCCAACCCTTGTGTTCATTCCACACGAAGCGCATAAAACTAGCCCCCTGACTTTGGATAACCAATGCATTTGCATAACAAAATCGCAGCAGCTGGTCTGTCAAGTCTCACCAGGCTCCCTGCCCAACAGCAGTGAACAAGCCCTGAAAAGCCAACCCCAGGGGGACTTGGGAAGAGAGGTGTAAATGAACCCAGCCAAACCAAGCTGGGGTGGCAAACATCTCACGCTGACAGCAGAACGAGGCCCTGATTTCTGCACAGAAGCCCCACGAGCAGTAGCTTCAGTTTGCTTTGGGTTTCCTCTTAACGCTTTAGGACCAAAGCAAATAACCAGAAGCCCCATTTCTGCTTGCATCTGGGACGATCACGTTAGCTTGCTGCTGTGCTTAGTAATGGACGCTGAGAACACCGCGCTGGGGTGGAGCATGTTCCTCCAGCCAAAGGGTTACGCGGCTGCTCTGGCTTTCATCAGGGCTGCTGTGAAGGAAACTGAAACCAACCTTTGTGTTTGCTGCAATCCAATTGGAAGTTTCACTGTCATCATCACACTTCTTAATCCACTTCTTTAACCACTGTTCAGGAAAGGAAAACAGACTCCTCAGACGTCATGCAGCTTTGAATCTCACTAACACAGACGTTCCATTATGCTCACGCTTCACATGAAAGGTGCCCCAAATTAACCCATTGCCAAACAGAGTGGAGTGAGCTTTAAACTTGCAGCAGAAAATCTGCTACTTACTACAAACCTCTCTAGTCTGGCACCCTGGGGACTTGACCAGTGCCGAACCAGAGAATTTGCTGGATCGCTGGAGGTTAATATTGTCTGGCACAGTTTCTCAAACTGTGCTCTGCAGAGCCCCGGGCCTCCGCGAGGTTGACTAACTGGAAACATCGATAGGTACAACGCATACAATAAGTGGACCGCTGGGGCTCCGCATAAATTTACACGCATGTAAAGGGCTCCGGAGCCCAAAAAGTTTGAGAACCGCTCGTCTAGCAGTATCCCCAACACTTCCACTGCTTCCTGGGCTTTTAGAAGACATTTGGGATAAATTAGAGCTAAACAACACTGAGAGCCAGGACTGGTGGCAGTAAAACTGTATGGGACTGCAGGAACCTTGGCCATACTCATAAGGGGACATCCAGCTAACTAAAATCATGCCAGTGCCAGGATACTGCCGGACCAGCGAGGTTCAACCTGTTGATAAACCCTGAAACACAGTATTACAGGACCCCAGGCATGCCAGAATGCCATCTGCTCAGGAAT